TTTCCCGGCGATTGGGAGGATAATTGCAAGTCCCACCGATGCACCGTTCATTTGGGTGTAATTAGATAGAATAAACAGGAGCAGAAAGGCAGTTGGGTTTTAAAATTGTTTGTGTCAAACGTTGGAAAAGGACAGATTTTTTTTTTTCTTTTTTTTTTTTCTTTTTAAGCCTACTGGTTGCATTTGTATTTTTTGTTGGTTATTTAACTGATGAACAAGAAGTATTTCGTTGAATTTTATATTTTTCTTTAACTGTTTCTCGCCAAAATTAGAACTCATTCATAAATAGATCATTCATTATGAATAATTATGCTTAATTACCTTAATTATGATTATTATACTGACCTTGTCATATTCAGACTTCTACATTAATCGCTTTACTACTAACTATACTGTCATTAATGTCATTGCCGATGATTACTGCCAATTTGTAGAGATCATAATTACTTTATCAGTTAATATCAGATTTCAAATTTCACAGTTAAATTCGAAACCTCTATCGATAAATAAACATATAAAATAAATAATCAAAAAGTAAAATAAATAACAAATGCATACCAGCAGACGATATCAAAACGCAATATTTGGAAAGAGATACCAGAATAGATACCTTATAAAGATGCAGAATATGAGTTAGAAATAAACGTCACAATAAATATTAACAGATATAAACAAAAAATAACAACGACCCAAAGAGATGAAATGTAATAACAAAAACAGTAAACAAGTAAACGAGATGAACAATCAGTAATAATGACCCAAAGGAATGAAATATAATAACGAGAACAGCAAACTAGTAATGTGAATAACGATCAAGAACATGAATGATAACAACAACGAATAAAGAGAACAATTTCATGAATAGGATAATAACAAGCTAAAAGTTAGAAGAAAAAAATATCAATTTAGAAAAAAAAGGGAGGATAACCTTTTGCAAGTTTTCCATTTTTACTTTTCCTCTTCTTGTGAAATTATGTTGAGAGCCCCTAAGCTTCGCAATCTGCAGCGCAAAAGAAAGGGGGAGAGGGGGGAGAGAGGAGTCACTGCTCTGGGATACGGACGCAATTCAAAATGAGAGACGTCAGATCAAAACAATTCAGGAATTTACTCCTAAGTCAAACACTGAAGTTTAGTCTTGTGTAAGCTCGGAATGAAGTTTGGCCACAAAGTTGTTTTTGGTAAAGGATATGTACTTGAATACATATGCACACACATACACACGCACATACATGCATTCATATATATGTGTACATACACACACACACACACATATATATATACACACACATCCATCCATCCATACATACATACAGACATACATACATATAGATATAGATGTATATATTTATATGTACATGCACACACACACAAACACAACCCTTCCCCTCCTCCCCCCCCCCCCCCCACAGACACACATTCGCTCACTCATACACACACAGACATATACGTACTTACAAAAACACATGTAACCCACACACTTTTGTTTGTGTATGTGTGCAGATCATCACGAACAACTAAAGAGGCAATAAGAGATACCGATTTGCGAACTGCATATATAGCGCCATTCTGAAAATAAAAAAAATCATAAACTTTCAAGCGAGAGGATACATTGGGCTAAATTGCAATGGAGGAACAGGTTATAAAACAAGACTTTAGAATCATTTTTATTTCCAATTTCGTACATTATTTCATGTTGTCACAATACTGATATACAATGACATTTAAGTTGGGTGACCCAGAACATGCTTATCCATGATGCTGTATTTCGTAGTCAAATTCTCCTTCTTAAAAAGGTCAGAAACCTTCAAAATAATATGTACATAAGCGCCCATAACTGAACTAGGATTGATTACTAATAGTCTCCTCCCGTACAATGCTCAGTCGTTTTGCTTTTCGTCTTTTAAGTTTATTTTTTAATTATTATTTTTTTCACATTATCTTAAAAGAACGTTTGCTTTCATTTTGGCGGGTTTGGTTAGTTCTGTTTGTTTATCCTAAACTCGTTGGCCGTTCTGTAAATATTTTCCAGTACTGATTACTGAAAGAACGGTGTTCTAACCCAAACAAATAGTAATGGTAATAAGTAAATAAATAACTATACATATTTCTCAGCTTCTTTTTTTCTCGTTTTCTCCAACCAAAAACTTTTGGACAGAGCCATAGGGGAATGAAACGGACAACTGGAATAAAACCTACGGACGTTGCGAATCAAAACCTTCATCCGGGACATTTGATTCGCCATTTTATAGGGTTGAATCCCATGTCACTGATTGTCGAGGGCCGAGACATCCCAGGCGATCACAGTCGCTGAACTAATCTTCAAAATACCTTATTAATCATTTATCTTTTTCAGTTTCTCTCTCTCTTTTTTTCGGTCCCTAAACTATAAAATGAAAGTGCAATAAGCAATACAGAGAGGGAGGGGGGGTGGAGGGGAGGGGGATGGAGGGGAGGGGAGGGGGAAGGGAGGTCCAATTTGCTGGTCTTTTCTTTCCCGATAAGCGGGCTGTTGCTTGTCATTGGTAGTGATTTTGTGTAGCCATTTTCCTGCTGACTCTTTTATTTTGTATTTATTCTTCCTTCAAGCGTCTTTGTGACCGGTTCAGAGAGAGAGAGAGAGAGGGGGAGAGAGAGAGAGAGAGAGAGAGAGAGAGAGAGAGAGAGAGAGAGAGAGAGAGAGAGAGAGAGAGAGAGAGAGAGAGAGAGAGAGAGAGAGAGAGACGATTCAAGGATCTGAGATAAGGACTTCTGTCTGATTTACAAAACAGAGGAGCAAAGGATAACAAATAATAACAGTATGAAAAAGATGGAGGGTATGATGAAACAAAAGAAGAAAAGAGAGAGACAGGAAATCAAACGGACCATACTAAGATACGACAGAAAGACACAGAAAGACACAGACAAATTGAGGTTACGATAATGGCATTTCTTCAATGTACAAAATATAAAAATTAGAGTAACTTCTCCACACAACAGACGTAAAATGATGCGGTTTTGAGTCACATCTTCATCAGCATTCCATAAATTACATCTGCTGCTCTATCAGAACTGTTTATTTTCACTTGCACCTTTCACACAGTTCATTCGAAGGGGAGCGAAAGAGGGAATCACAAACACAAACGATAATAACCAAAGTAAAAAGAAAAAGAAAAAAAGAAAACAAAAAAAAAATCGAACAGCAAACCTCTCAACCTACAAAACAACACATAAATAAATAAATAAATAAACAAATACAAACCCCAAAAAACGAAAAACAAGAGCAAAAAAAACAGCGAAAAAAAAACGAAGAAGTCAAATTTCGTTTTTCTTTATATCCAACTCTGAACGAACGAACGAAAGTCATCCCAATCATTTTTTTCCTTTTCTCAGAGGGACGAGTGACGAGTAGACGAGTGGACGAGTGGACAGGTGGACAGATGGACGATTGGACGAGCATCTTTTTGGCGAGGAGATGAGAGGAGAGGGGATAGAAACAGAGCTGCTGGTCGGATGTCTTCTCAAGGACCTCTGTGGGAAGGCGACTCTCAAGCTGGCGAGGGAGAGAGAGGGGACGGTGAACGACGATGAACGAATGTTATTTCTATATAATGATGATGATGGTATTAAAAGTAATAATGATTATGATTATAATAATAGTGATAGTGATAATAATAATTAAGATAATGATAACTATAATGATAATGAAGGTAATAATAATACTTATAATAATAATAATAATAATAATAATAATGATAATAAAAGTAATAATAATAAATATAATAATAATAATGATGATAATAATAATAATAGTGGTGAAAATAATGATTATAATGGTATAATAATGATATTGATAATCATAATAATAATAATAATAATAATAATAATAATAATAATAATAATAATAACAATAATAATAACAACAATAATAATAATAGTGGTGATAATGATAATAATAATAATTATTATTATTATTACTATTATTATATGGTTATTATTATTATCATTATTATTATTATTATTGTTGTTATTATTATTAATATAATAATAATGCTGCTGATGATGATAATAAGGATTATGATAATCATAATAACAATGATATTGACAATGAAAATAACAATAGCAATGACAATGCCAATGCCAATGACAGTGACAATGATAATGGTAATGATAATGATAATGATTATGATTATGATAATAGTGATAACAATGAAAATAACAATAATGAATGATTATGGTAATAACAATAATAATAATAACAATAATAGAAATAGTAATAATAATAATAATAAAAACAATAGTAACAAGGAAATAACAACAAAGATAAATACAAATTATTGTAACCTTCAGGATCTTTTAATACTTTAATAGGATCTTTCTACTTTTTGTTTAACCCTTGACCTTTTTGTGTGTTAATCTCTTCACGAAAAACTGACCTTCAAAGCGACCCTGAATTTGGTGTCATTCGAGGTCACAACCATTCATACGGGTCTTAATGAAAGTGTTTTAATGCACGTGCTTTCATGTGTGATTCTGGCTAAAGGAGCTTACTCTGCCTTGAAAGCTTGGGTATTTTATTACTCCAAGCGTGCACGTGTGTTATATTTTGTGGAAGTAGCGCGGGGGGGGGGTATATGCAGGCAGTACAGAACATGAATTTCAAACTGGAAAGTAATATGAAGAGCTTGTTTATATATATATATATATATATATATATATATATATATATATATATATATATATATATATATATACTAAGTCGTATCACATCTCGTCAGTGAATTAATAGATATACCTTTGTTTCCGTGCCTTGTAGATGAAATCATTTAACTAATTCGCATAGATAGAATCACGAAATATAAAACCTGTACCATTACCTTACAGAGGTAAGTCACACATCAGCGTTGGCATGATATCAAAATCGGAGATCTGCGAGATGGCAAGAGTGATGGAGTTGTCAGTTAGTCCTGAAGAAACCATGCGGACGGTGGTCATGCCGCAGAGGATGTGCGACGCTGGCAGACCTAGGCGACCAGAGAGAGAGAGAAACGGTTAGTTTTATGTCTGTTTCTGAAATGGTAATAGATAAAGGGGAATATCTGTCCATCGATATCGTTTAAAATGTAGAGGAAAATAATTAAAACAAGATTTAAAGATGAAATTTCGCCAGCTCCATCAGTGCTAGCTACCGTGATGGACAACAATGTAGAAAAAAATAAATAGTAACGCTGAAGATAAAGAGGATTACGTCACATCCACATCAAAGAAAATGAAGAGGACATCAAAGAACCCTCCTCAAACAATTTTGAAAAGGTATCAAGTGTAAATCGCACAAAACAGAAATTATTCAAAACTGCTATACAAGTTTTACGAAGAGAAAATCCCAGGAATACCAGGTGTAACTAAACAAAAACAAGTATAGCCGTGATCAAAGGCTTTAACAGAGCAATCCCGTAGGCTAGACTGGCGGGCAGGTCGTACATACTCAAAATAAAACACATTTTTACACGATATAATAGGTACGCGGTGAAACGTGGCTTCACCCAGATATGTCAAGTAGTTTTATCAAATTAATCATCATAATGTTTATAGATGCGATGCAGGACATGTGGGAGAAGTCCGCATGTATGTCCAGGATGCTCTCAAAACAAAGGTATCCGCTATACCGTTAAGAATGTGTATGATAAAAGATGTTTACGGGTTACAGTACAAAGCATTATGTTTCCTTCATTCACTTGTCTGGAGACATCTTCATGGTTCAGCCGATCTAAATGATGGCTTAAACAAACTAAATACTAGAACCAATTAACCTACAAGGGTCACAGAAAATACTTTGTAATATATGTTAAACAACAAACATCTGATGTCATTCACCATAAAAAAAAATCATAATATAAAGAATTGAAACTGAACTTACGGGCAACTTAACTACCTCTGACCTTCAGTCATTAAATTTTAAACAGAGAATAAACTCTTCTAGAGATGTATTGAAAATAAGCAAGTAAATATCCAGACGGAAGTGACTGAAGATGCCGTGAGTCCCTTTGCAACAAAATCTGATAGACGTCCTCCTTTTCCATGGATAAACAATGGCCTCAAGAGGGTTACAATGTATAAAAATAACACTCACCCTTCAAGCTGATTATAAAGGGAAAAAGAGAGAAAGGTAAAATCACTATTACAGGGACCCAAAACCGATTATTTCAGAAATGAATTAACTAGCTGTCAAAAAAGACATTAGTGTCAAGTAACAACATCACGGAGATATTAGAACGGACGATTTTCAATGTCTTCCTCGCTAAAATTGGAAAACTCACTCACGAACAAATCCTTTCTTCCACATCTCCTCCAATACAGGTAGGATAAAGCCCTCAACCAAGACTTTCAGGCCACAACCAGTAAAGAAAAAGAAAGAAAGAAAGAAAAAAAAAATCCTGACAGCAAAGCAAACAGGAGCGGATGGCATTGCTTTCGTTGCATTAGAGACCGCCTACCTGCAGTCGCATATTATGTAATTGTTATAATTGAGCTCCCATCGATTTGGAAACAGGGTATTGTATCGCCAGTATTCAAATACGTTGATACATAATAAATTAATATATATCACTTTATTGCTATACTGTCTATACTGTCCACAGTCCTCGACACATTGATGACTTTTCTGAAGAAGCACATAGGGACAAAATCCTTATTGAAACGAGGACCTCAGTAGCACAAATACTTCCTCTTGGTAAATAATTAACTATTGCCCCAACGTATGGGGTTCAACCAATAAAGTTCAAATTTAGAAAGCTCTGGCACTTGGTAATATTGATAAGTATGAGCACTTTACCCCCACACATAAATAAACTAAAACGGTTAAAAATGCTGTACAGATACAATTATGATATTTGTATACTCATCCATAAAATTATTCAAGGCAATTATCCAAAAAAAGCTCTTGCCACTCCCAATCATAGGTAACACACCTGGTATATATACATACAATATATACATTCTTAAAAAAAAAAAAAATACAGAAATAAAGAGGAGCGCCCAATGTAAATGCGTGGGTACATGATTTTGGATCGACCATCTCGCAATATCAAAAACACTGATAACAAGAATATCTATCGTAATCCATCAGTGGGATCAGGTTTCTAGATATAAGATAAAACACGATTTGAATGTACTAGTATGAATGAATCTTATATGTATTTTATATTTGTATTATAAAACCATCATGTGTGCGAAATGAAAAGGGAAATAAAGCACTTTGAAGTTCAAGTCGAACTTTGTCTTCTCTCTCAATTTATCTCTTTGTTTACCTGCTTCTTTTTCTTAATTTCTCTCTCTCTCTCTCTCTCTCTCTCTCTCTCTCTCTCTCTCTCTCTCTCTCTTTCTCTCTCTCTCTCTCTCTCTCTCTCGCTCTCTCTCTCTCTCTCTCTCTCTCTCTCTCTCTCTCTCTCTCTCTCTCTCTCTCTCTCTCTCTCTCTCTCTCTCTCTCTCGCTCTCTCTCGCTCTCTCTCTCTCTCTCTCTCTCTCTCTCTCTCTCTCTCTCTCTCTCTCTTCTCTCTCTCTCTCTCTCTCTTTCTCTCTCTCTCTCTTTCTCTCTTTATATATATATATTTTTTTTTTAAATTCATTAACCAATAAATAAGTTATAGTTTATCAACTATTAGATAAACGACCAACTATTAAAAGCAAAACATGCAGCGGGCAAAAACAGGAGCCCAAAGGAATAAAGAAAAATCGGAAACAAAAAGACAAAAAACAAACAAACAAACGAAAACCTTCTAAAAAAAAATGCCAACGCGTGTAGCTCAACATCTCTCCCATGAACAAGCTATAACTCATTACCATGAAGATGAAGTCATGACCAATTCCCTCTCATTGAACATCCTCCCTCCCTGCATCCCAACACATCCCCGGCTGTTGCGTGTATCTCGGGCCTGATTCACATGCAGACGGCCTTAATACAATTTAGATACCGGGTGATTACCAGCTGGCGTGTGTGCGTTGGCGAAGGAGGGTGAGGCAGGAAGAGTGAAGGATATCAAAACTTTTAGGGCATGATCGGGAGGGGATACGGGAAGGGGGGGGGGTTAGTGGGTGTAGGGGAGGGGAGGAAGAGAGGAGGAGAGGGGGAAGGAAGATTTTTTTTTTAAAGGAGAAAAAAGAGAGAGAGATATAGAAGAATTAAGATAAATGAGATAAGGAAGGAGATAAAGAAGATTGGAGGTATGTGTAGTGCGAAATCCTTGTAAGGAAAATGACAAAAGGTACAAATTTGGTATTGTTAGTCTCTCCTTTGAACTGAAGTGATCTTACTTGCCCTTCGAGTTGCTTAAGAAACTGGGAATAACTAAAATCCATGTCGGGAATGGGAAGCATGGAAAGGATAATGATACGGGACAAGAGAGAATGGGAGAAAAGGAAGAAAGAAAAAGTGGAAAAAACTGGAAGGAAGGGGGAGAGTACGGGAATTAGAAGGAGGAGGACACCAGCAAAGAAAAAGAAAAGAAAAACGGGGGAGGAGGGAAGCGAAGGGGAGATAAGAGAGAGGAGAAGAAAAGAAAATTTGATAACAAAAGGGAAAAGGGGTAATCAAGAGAACAAGTAAAACAAATTCAGACGAGAAATACAGGAGATTAAAAGACAGACAGACACACACACACACACACACACACACACACACACACACTCACACAAACACACACTGTATATCAGTCTGTTATTATGCAATACTTTTATATAGAAAAAAAAAAAAAAAAAACACAGGAAAAGACAGAGAGCACACACATAGCCAGCCACACACACACGCACACACACACACACACACACACACACACACACACACACACACACGAATGGACTAGCCGAACCGACCAGGAGAGCCTCGAATTCCTTACTCCCTAGAGGCTCTCGTCTCCGATAAGAGCATTGAAGTACATTATCAGCTGACACACAGCATTCTTGATCAGGTGCATGAGGATATTCAGTCGCCGTTAGTGGAAGAGTTGTTCGGTTGCATGCAATGGAAGCAAGAGATAGATAGGTAGATGGATAGGTGGATAGGCAGAGAGATTGGGCGATAAAGAGAGAGAGTGATAGATGGAGATATCTATCAGTTAGACAGATAGTTTGATTGATAGAGAGAGAGAGGTAATGGAGATAAATAGATTGATGAACAGCTAGCTAAATAATGAGATAGATCGAGAGAGAGTGCGTGTGATCGAGAGAGAAAGGAATGAAAAATAAAAAAAGAAGGAAAGAAAGAAAAAGCATAACATGAAATAGGCACAAACGTAGCGTCCCAAAAAGAAAACGAAAACAAGTATCGGACAAACAAACAAACAAGCAAACAACGAACATAACAAAAAACGCGCCCCCCCTCAAAAAAAAAAAAACACAATAAACAAGTAATAGATAAATTTAACCTCCAATGCAGCTCACCAACAACGGCAACAACGCCCCCCCCCCCCCTCAAAAAAACATTTAAAAAAAGAATAAACATCCGATCCACACAAAACAACGAAAACCAATATCCGAAGGAAACGAGAGAATAAAACTAGACCGACTTATCTCCGGTGGCAACGTCATCGAAAAGGCAGGTCAGACAACGAGTTAAACACACTGAATAATAATAGCGAGTGATCTTCATTGGACGTAAAAGTTCTTAGTCTCGGCTAAACCATGAATTATTTTCTTCGCTTGATATTTTGTTGGGGACAGGGAATGGGATGGAGAGAGAGAGAAAGAGAGAGAGAAAGAATGAGAGAGAGAGAGAGAGAGAGAGAGAGAGAAATTGAGAGAGATTGAGAGAGGAAGAGAGAGAGAGAGAGAGAGAGAATGAGAAAGACTGAGAGAGGAAGAGAGAGAGAGAGAGAGAGAGAGAGAGAGAGAGAGAGAGAGGGAGAAAGAAAGAAGCAGAGAAGGACAGAAAAGAGAGATCCCAGCCGATAACATAATTTGCAGGAAGCTTTCGAGATTGGGAACAGGAGGAGAGGGGAAGCTGGGTGGGGAGAGGGGAAGAGGGAGAAAG